GCTAATTATGCTGGAAAAAGAAAGCTTCGAAGTTTTCGTAGTTGATGTATCCTAAATGCAATACTTGGTATCACATTGCCTGAAGTCTCCCAGCTCAGGGTGACAGATTTAAGATAAGATTTGTTGGGATTTTTAATCCGGGGTATTGAGGATTAACCACCCAGAGTAACACAGGAAAGTGGCCCGGTGGCCTGGTGGCTAAAGCTCCCGCCCGGGTTCGATTCCCGGCTGGTGGAAACATTTCGACACGTTTCCTTACACCTGTTGTCCTGTTCACCTAGCAGATAGATTTTTTAGATTTTGCCACCGAAGTGGCTAGTTTATTGTGCACCCCATATCCATCCTGTGGACGGTAGCGCGAGAGCATATGGATACACAAAAGGCCTAGGAACTAGGCCCCAAAGGGTTAACAGGAATACATATGGATTTATATCTACATATCTATAGTTCACTTATCTGTTACAAGCAAATTTAGGAAATTTGCTTAGTATATCTGGTATCTTATTTTCATTAATAAGATATCTTGACATGTCACATAGGTTATTATACTGTCTGTCTCTGTATTCCTCAATAAGTGGACAATTAAGCACATAGTGTTCAAGAGAGTGACCATATGCCTGATCACATAATTTACATTTAGTTTGATCATCATCTGTGTGTCTCCCAAACTGCCAGAAGTACTTGTAACCAAGCCTAAGCCTGGCCACTACAACATCAGTCAGTCTGTTCACATTGCAAGTTGCTCCATAAACATACTTATCTACGTTCATGTTATCATAGTGGGTTATAGATCTACTCAGGCTTCTAACTGCATTCCTATAACAATCATTTTCATTATTTACTTCTCTCCTAATATTATTCCTAATGCTAGACACAGTTATACCAAAGTTATATTCTACATTCTCCTTCTCGATACTCTTCTTGGCTAACATATCAACTTTATCATGAAGGAGTAATCCAATGTGTGATGGATCCATAGCAATTGTACATTAATTCCTTTGACCCTAATTTTTTGAGTATCTATACCTGGCTTCCCCAATGAGCATGTTGTTGGAGTCATTATATGAGTCCAAGAGCCTTCAGTGATGACATAGAATCAGTAATGATGATAGAGTCAAGCTCAGTGTCATAGGTTAGCTTTAGCGCCATTAGGATTGCAAACAATTCAGTTTTGCAGTGTAGACGCCCAGTGTTATTCTTATGCCTAACTCAACAAATTTATTATCGTTCTTAACTAGGAAGGTGGCAACAAGAGCAGATGCAGCCCTGCCAGAAGACTCCTGTTTAGATCCATCAGTGTATATAACTTGTGATAACTTGTTACTACCAGCTAGGTGAGAAATTTCTTCTTGAGCAGTTGCTCTAACAAGAGATTTAAGGAAGGGATTACTAGCAATAAGCTTCTTGGGAGGGACTTGTAGGTATGTGATATTAAATGAACACATCTTCCATGGAGGGGTGAAATGCTCTTGTTGCCTACAGTGATACAGTTCATGTAGGTTATAAAACTTAATGCAATTGCACGTTTTCACAATCCATTTAGATCTGTGTGTATTTACCTCTAGACACTTGGTAAGATTCACCTAGCAGCAAATAGGTACCTGGGTGTTAGTCGACTGGTGTGGGTCGCATCCTGGGGGACAAGATTAAGGACCCCAATGGAAATAAGTTAGACAGTCCTCGATGACGCACTGACTTTCTTGGGTTATCCTGGGTGGCTAACCCTCCGGGGTTAAAAATCCGAACGAAATCTTATCTTATCTCTGTCAGTGTGTCATCGACGACTGTCTTATTTCCATTGTGGTCCTTCAGTCTTGTCCCCCAGGATGCGTCCCACACTAGTCGACTTACACCCAGGTACCTGCTTACTTCTAGGTGATCAAAAACAGTAGGTGTAAGGAAAGGTACCTAACGTTTCCACCCATGCCGGGGATTGAACTACGGATACTCAGTGTGTGAGGCAAGGACTCTGCCTACTACTATGTACATGACCCATCCTGTGTGATACCATATGACAGGGAAACATAGTTAAGTTTGGATAAGTTTGCAGCACACTGCAAACTTTATCCAATTTTATTAAAGAAAGCAGTAGCTGCTAGGCTGACGCATATATGTTTTTCCAAATTGACATAACAACCCTCACAGTATCATAGCCTCACGATTGGTACTCTCTTATCGTAATGTATTGACACTCACATAGTTATCATCAGGTGTTAAAAAGGGAAGTAACACCTGTCACTTATCTAACTTCGTAACCCGAGATTACACAAAGTCCCAGGTGCGATATTTGCCTGTGTCCAAATTATTTACTAATGAGCTTTTGTTCAGATGGACAGACACACACATCAACAAAATATATAAATATATATATTATATTAAATTATATATATATATATATATTATATAATATAATATAATATATATATATATATATATATATATTATATATATATATATATATATATATATTATATATATATATATATATTATATATATATATATATATATATATATATATATATATATATATATATATATATATATATATATATATATATATATATATATATATATATATATATATATATATATAATATATATATATATATATATATATATATATATATATATATATATATATATATATATATATATATATATATATAATATATATATATATATATATATATATATATATAATATATATATATATATATATATATATATATATATATATATTATATATGCAATATAACCACAGGAGGAGTTGAATGAATGCTCTAGGCCTTTCGTGTTGCAATGAACACGTCATCAAAAGCATTTTTTTTATTAATAATAATAATAATAATTATGATGGATATAAATCAATTTGTCTGATTTTTTTGGATTCCTCTAGGCAATCTACACATATGTCGTTGTGTATGAAAATTTATATAACTGTATTTTTGTGTACCTGTACCTGAATAAACGTACTTACTACTATTACTACTAATGCTTTAGTTAACCCATAAATATTACATGTATATCGTTTTCTATGTGTAAAAAGACGGCAGTTCTCTCAAGACATTTCTTAGGGGTAACTCCTGAAGAACAAAAAGAATAAGGCGGAGAAGAATAAGATAATAAGGATCGGGGATAACCCAACCATGTCTCTCCCCGAGTATCTGGGATGCCCTGGCCATGTTACCCGGGCAGGGCCCGGAGTATTGTATATGTTTCGACCATGTCTCCCTGAGTATCTAGTATGGCTAACCATGTCTTCCCTAAGTATGTTGCGTTAGATTTAATTCGCTCAATGAGGGGTAGATAAGAGGTAATGAGCGGCATGGGTCGTCCATGGGAGGGTCGGAGGGAAGGAATAAATAAGATTTTGAGTGTCAGGGGCTTGAGCATCCAGCAGGCTTGTGTGAGCCAGTGTAACTGGAGTGAATTGAGATAATTAGCTTTTGAAGTTTGATGTGCTGTTGGCACAAGAAAAAATTAACATTTATGAAGAGATTCAGATAAAAATGGTTAACCAGACTTGAGTCCTGGAGGTGGACAATGCAGGTCTACTCTGAAGGATGAGGATGTTGCAGCTCGGAGAGGAATCTGGTCTCTGATGTTAGCACACTTCTGGCAAGACAACAGTTGAATGAAAGATACTTAATACGTTACCTAAAAGGACTCCAATGGAAATAAATCACTGTGACTTTACGGGTTATCCTAGGTAATTTACACTATGTATGATAATTGTACTTATGTGTACCTGTACCTAAATAAACTAACTTATATACTTACTCTGAGTCACCTTCCCTCGGTGGAAGACGGCAGGTGTCAAAAAAATATATGTATATGCATATTTCCAGTCTCTTATATATTTATACATAAAGTTAAATAGGTTTAAAGCCTGTCGACGCACAAGGGTCCTAATTACAGCTACATGTAACATGTTAACTACCATTCAGAAACAAGACAGTTTACTGAGACACAGGTACACATAAGTACACTTATCATATATATGTTAAATTGCCAAGGATAATCCAAAAAGTCAGATAAAGTGATCAAGTTTATTTTGGTACAGGTACACATAAGTACATTATTATTATTATAAAAAAGAAGCGCTAAACCACAAGGGCTATACAGCGCTGACACATAAGTACAGAGATAGGTGACATTTACTTGTGCATGCAGAAGTCTATGGTTATGTATATGTGCAAATTAACTAGCATAACCCATCCCCCCCAAATGTCGCAGTTACTTATTCCCATTGGGGTCCTTGATTATCCTCATTGGGGTCCTTGTAATAGTCCCAGTGGTGGTCCTTGATTATTCCCATCGGGGTCCTTGTAAAATTTCCATTGCGGTCCTTGATGATTTTCATTGGGGTTATTGCAATATTCCCATTCAGGGTCCTTGATTATTTCCATCGGGTCCTTGAAATATTTCTGTTGGGGTACTTGCAATATTTTTAATGGAGTCCTTACAATATTTCCATTTGGGATCTTTGATTATTTACACTGGAGTCCTTACAATATTCCCATTGGGTCCTTGTAATATTTTCCAATGATGGGGCCTTGATTATTTCCATCGGGTCCTTACAATAATCCCATTGGGAGACCTTGATTATTTTAATGGGGGATCTTGATTCTTTTCATTAGGGGGACCTTGATTCTTTCCATTGGGGACCTTGGTTCTTTCCATTGGGGGACCTTGATTATTTACATTAGGGGACCTTGATTCCACTGGGGGCCTTACAATATTCCCATTGAGATATGTCCTTGATTATTTCTATGGGGGGTCCTTGTAATATTCCCCAGGGGATCCTTGATACTTCCCATTGGGGGGGTTTGAGGTTTGATCCAGCGAGGGAGAAACCAGCTCCCAGTCCCTGGATGAAGAGCCACAGATGAAAGTTATAACGGGAAAGGAGAATGTAGGAGGGAGTGAGGTTAGTGACGTCAGCAGAGAGGGAGAGAGAGGACCAGGTGAGTGATGGGAAATATTTCCCAACATGCCCAGCCTCTGCCGCCAATATTCCAACTTGGTAGCAGTGTTGTAGAGGTGTGCAGGTGTGGTGGTGGTGGAAGGACAGGTGTGGGGGGCTAGGCTGGCCTCTCCAGACACCTGACTTAACATCTCTATATACTGCTGCTTCACCATCATGGCGGTGCTTCTCACATTCATGGTATATATATATATATATATTCCACCCTCTTATTTCATCTTCTCTCACCTCACTAAACGTTCCTTGATGCTGGTGAGGGGCTCTTGATTTAGGGAATTTGATCTGTGCTCCAGTTCCCTGAATTAAAACCTGAATACTTTCCACATCCCCCCCTCAGGCGCTGTATAATCTTACGGGTTTAGCGCTTCCCCCTTGATTATAATAATAATACTTCCTCTTCTCACCTCCCTTAATGTCTAAATAATAAGGTTAAAGTAATTAGGGGGGAGTTAAAGTAATAATATAGGGTTTAAATAATTAGATATTACAAGGACCCCAGTGGACCCCAATGGGGTCACTCGGACATTTTTTGGGGGGTTATCTTGATGTATGGCCCTTGTAGGTTTAGCACTCCTTTTTGATTATAATCTGGATTATCCTGGTGGGTAATTTACACATATGTTACTGTGTATGATAATTTGTGTATTGTAATACTCCCAGTGGGAATATTACAAGGACCCCAGTGGGAATATTACAAGGACCCCAGTGGGAATATTACAAGGACCACAGTGGGAATATTACAAGGACCACAGTGGGAATATTACAAGAACCCCAGTGGGAATATTACAAGAACCCCAGTGGGAATATTACAAGGACCACAGTGGGAATATTACAAGGACCAGAGTGGGAATATTACAAGGACCACAGTGGGAATATTACAAGGACCACAGTGGGAATATTACAAGGACCCCAGTGGGAATATTACAAGAACCCCAGTGGGAATATTACAAGAACCCCAGTGGGAATATTACAAGAACCCCAGTGGGAATATTACAAGAACCCCAGTGGGAATATTACAAGAACCTCAGTGGGAATATTACAAGAACCTCAGTGGGAATATTACAAGAACCCAGTGGGAATATTACAAGAACCCAGTGGGAATATTACAAGAACCCCAGTGGGAATATTACAAGAACCCCAGTGGGAATATTACAAGAACCCCAGTGGGAATATTACAAGAACCTCAGTGGGAATATTACAAGAACCCCAGTGGGAATATTACAAGAACCCCAGTGGGAATATTACAAGAACCCCAGTGGGAATATTACAAGAACCCTAGTGGGAATATTACAAGGACCACAGTGGGAATATTACAAGAACCTCAGTGGGAATATTACAAGAACCCCAGTGGGAATATTACAAGAACCCCAGTGGGAATATTACAAGAACCCCAGTGGGAATATTACAAGAACCCCAGTGGGAATATTACAAGAACCCCAGTGGGAATATTACAAGAACCCCAGTGGGAATATTACAAGAACCCCAGTGGGAATATTACAAGAACCCCAGTGGGAATATTACAAGAACCCCAGTGGGAATATTACAAGAACCTCAGTGGGAATATTACAAGAACCCCAGTGGGAATATTACAAGAACCCCAGTGGAAATAAGTCATGTTGTTTGACATTGGGTTATCCTGGGTGACTTACATTGTATTATAATTATACTGATGTGTACCTCTGCCTATATAAACTTGACAAGTGTAAATTACCTAGGATAATCCCCCAACAAGTTAGTGACTTGTTTCCATTAAGGTTAGGACCTTAATTAATGGAAATAAGTCACTAACAAAATAGAGGCTACATATTAGTAGCCTTTATTTTGTGCCTAACCATTTTATTGTATGTAAAATGTATTATCAACTACATTTATTTGTGTACAAACTGTATTCCCTGGAATGCAGGCGGGAGAGATACATGATTATATACACCTGGAAAATCCTAGAGGGACTAGTACCGAACTTGTACACGAAAATCACTCACTACGAAAGCAAAAGACTTGGCAGACGATGCAACATCCCCCCAATGAAAAGCAGGGGTGTCACTAGGACGTTAAGAGACAATACAATAAGTGTCAGGGGCCCGAGACTGTTCAACTGCCTCCTAGCATACATAAGGGGAATTACCAATAGACCCCTGGCAGTCTTCAAGCTGGCACTGGACAAACACCTAAAGTCGGTTCCTGACCAGCCGGGCTGTGGCTCGTACGTTGGTTTGTGTGCAGCCAGCAGTAACAGCCTGGTTGATCAAACCTTGATCCACCATGAGGCCTGGTCACAGACTGGGCCGCGGGGGCGTTGACCCTCAGAACTCTCTCCAGGTAAACTGCAAAACAACAGATATAAATTTGAATTTCATTGTTGTTTGATCCCCATATCCATCACCATTCCAGCCTACCACACACACTACATAACCTATTAACTTATGGGTTTAGTGTTTAGTTTTGATTGTAATGATAATAATAGTTCACTCTACGGGGAAGTGGAACAAAATTCTTCCTCCGTAAGCCATGTGTGTCGTAAGAGGTGACTAAAATGCCGTTGGAACGGAATTCTTCCTCCGCAAGTCATGCATGTCGTAAGAGGCGACTAAAATGTCAGGAGCAAGGGGCTAGTAACCCCTTCTGTATACATTACTAAAGTTAAAAAGAGAAACTTTTGTTTTTCCGTTTAGGTCACCCAGCGTTGGTGGGGTACAACTAGTTCATTAAAAAAAAAAATAGTCCTCTTAACTTAGGGAAACAGTGCTTCATCTTCCACTGATTCTGTCATAATTTTTACTGAATTGAGAAAAACACAGGATGATGATGTTATAAATAATAATAATAATACTAATAATCTTTATTTCTACAAGTACATGATACAACTTATACAGACCATAGCTGACATCAATGACATACTATATTGAAAGCCCCTGGTTATGTAAAGAATTTCCTGCAACATAGGTTAATTTTGTTCCCAGGGTGTGACCCACACTAGTTGGCTAATGCCCAGGTACCTACTTGCTGCTAGGTGAACAGGGACAGCAGGTGTCTGAAGGAAACACCCAGTGTTTCCACCTGCATCGGGGATCGAACCACGGACACTCAATGTGTGAGCCAAGCGCTACCAACTGGGCTACGGGGCAAAATGTCTTCATTAAAAGACACCCAAGTGTTGCATATCTTATTAATATGCTGTAATGAGCAGTAATTAGATTTAATAGATTTGAAGGACTAGAAAAATATTTTGTTATAAATGAATGTAGCTACTGACCAAATCTTGTACATGTTTTTCTTACAACTACTAAAAAATGGAGGAAAGTTTTATATACAGTTGAAAACCTTTCAGGTTGGAGTGCCATGAATGAAGGACTTGTAAGGGTGGCTCAGAATTTGAAGGATGATGGGATTGAGCTGGTTGACGATGTCACCGAGCATGCAAGTAAGCAACAGTTCTCTATATTAGATATTTTCTGTCCTCTCTGTCTTATCTACATCTCTGCCTTATTCCTGAGAGACCTTCTCTTGGACTGCCTGGGAGACTTTGTGAATTATTAACCTTATGGGGCTGATAACCCAGGATACTGCAAGACAGCCAGCCAGAAATGGTTTACAAGTACCAAGTACTGTCAGTTAGTTTTTTTATAGATGTACAGTGCAGCCCCAAGTTTCGAACTTTTGTCGTTCCAGAAGGCTGTTCGAGTGCCTTTACCGAATGAATTTGTTCCCATAAGGAATAATGTAAATTAGATTAGTCCATTTCAGACCCCCAAAAATGCACTTACAAGAGCACTTACAATAATACACTTACATAATTGTTCAAGTTGGGAGCTGTTCGAAACTTGCGGTATCACTGTATTTGTCATACTTTTTCCAAGCTCGTAATTGATCTCGGAATTATTTATAATTGTCTCCATGTTTGCTAGCACAAAGTCAAGGGGCTATATCATGTAGTTGGCTCAGTCACAAACCGTTTTGAGAAGCAATCAGACTTTTTTTTTTTTCACTTGCCAGTTTATAAAAATGCCTAAAAACATGCTTACACTATCATTTATTAAGTGTGCACTAGCACAAGACCTAAAAAAAAAAAAGATGCAAAAGTAAAAAGATAAATAATTTTTTTTAAGTTGCAAAAAACCATCTTTAAGAGCAAGGTAAGTGCCAAAAATGAATATAATTGAAAATAATTATAATTGAATATAATTGAAAAGTGCTGTGTTAGTAAAGTACTGTATTAAGTATGTATGCCTGTACTAGGAATCACAAGTTGTATTTCATGTCAAATTGCTCCAGTTAATTTACTGTGGTTTCAATTTTTTTTTTTTTAGTTTTTTCATTTGCACTGGTTATCAGTGATGTCTCGTGTTGACTTGCAGGTGTGGTGGTTGTTGAAGAGGGTGGTGGCTCGGTAACACTGGAACTTCCTGATGGAACACAAGCCATAGTACATAATGCCATAAGAGAGGAACCTCAAGGTATTAAGCAGTTGTGTATATGTTAAATATTTTTTTCGTACTTTGTGTATATGTATGTGTGTGTGTTATTTTGTAGGTAGTCAGTCAGGCTGTACTGCCTTCAGAAATAGAACCTTCAAAAAATATATCTAATCCATTGATAGATAAATTTTTTATATACAGTATAAAGTGTTTAATTTTCCAGAAAAACATTTTCACTCGGCCTGATTTATTTAGACACACGATTGTCTCCCATTGAGGTAGTGACCTGAAAATAAGGAAACACATTCACCGTGATTCATTCAATAGCTGTCTTACCTGTATGTGTAATTTTTGTGCACAATTTGAAGAGTTTGGTAGGGAAACTGGCATTAATTAATTTCACTTTAAATTGAAATTTGCACTAATTGGGACCTAGCTGCATTTCCTTGTATATTTGGGAGGATAGTTTTTTATCTGCACTTTTTTCTTTCCCCATATCCTGCTATGTAAAGTAAAAGGACACAAGTGCAACTAATATGCTTACTGTCTGCCCCCCTACCTGAGTACTTTCTCTTCCTTTTAACCCGTAAACGGTCCAAACGTATATATACGTTTTTTCAACATTTGAAAGTATGTAAAAAAAGTAGGTCTACTTTTTTTTTGTTATATTTGAAAATATGTAAAAAAAACGTAGATCTACTTTTGTAGCACTACGCATGTGAACGTAGTTCTGCTTGGACCATTTATGGGTTAACCCTTAAACTGTCCAAACATAGATCTACGTTCACATGCGTAGTGCTTCGAAAGTAGATCTACTTTTTTACATATTTTCAAATATAAAAAAAAAAAGTATATCAAAGTTTTTTTAAACACTTTCAAATGTAAAAAAAAAAAATCTGCTTTTTTTACATACTTTCATATGTTGAAAAAACGTAGATCTATGTTTGGATAGTTTGAGGGTTAATTAGTGTTGTAACATAATTTTTAATTGCTACTGACTTTTTGTCCCTCCTGCCTTTTCTTCTGTAGAAATTACTCTGTGTCTTGCATCCATTCCTTCAGATACTGAATAACCCACTAGGTGTAGTGCCTTTAATTACTATTACTAAATTTTTTTCTGTACTTGTATTAAAAATTTTCCATATATACATGGGGAAGCAGAAAGGAATCCTTCCTCCTCCAGCCATGTGTGTTGTAAGAGGAGACTAAAATTCTGGGAGGAAAGAGCTAGTTGCCCCTTCTGTATAAATTACTAAATGTAAGAAGAAATTTTTTTTTTTATTTTTAGGTCACCCTGCCTCAGTGGGAGACAGCCAGTATTTTAACAAATATTTTTTTATCATATTTAATAATTCTCTATATTGTCCATTCCTTCTAAATTGTGACTTTTCTCAGTGTTCACTTCATTATATTCCTGCTTTATGGCAAGCCTGATGTAAATTTATGCTTAATGTTCTCTTCAGATGATATGGAAGGTGTTGCCATCCAGCTGGATGATGGCAGAATTGGCTATCTGTATGGTGATACTCTCTTACAAGCAGTGGCAGATGATCATGAACAACTTATTCCAAATAACAGTGGCAAATTTTTTTGCTATTTTCCAAACTGTGAAAAATCATATTCTTCTATACAGCACCTCAAAGTAAGTGAGGTTAACTTTTTGTTTTTTTTAATCATCTACCTGTTTCAACTAAATATCATTCTAGTTATGTGTGTCTAATTACTAGTTTAAAATGGAGGAAGAATCCTTCCTCTGTAATCTGTGTGTGTCATAAGAGACAACTAAAATGCCAGGAGTAATGGGCTAGTAACCCCTTCCCCTATATAATTTTTTTTTTTTTTCAACAAGTCGGCCGTCTCCCACCGAGGCAGGGTGACCCAAAAAAAGAAAGAAAATCCCCAAAAAGAAAATGCTTTCATCATCATTCAACACTTTCACCACACTCACACATTATCACTGTTTTTGCAGAGGTGCTCAGAATACAACAGTTTAGAAGCATATACATATAAAGATACACAACATATCCCTCCAAACTCTTCGCTTTAGGTCACCCTGCCTCAGTGAGAGACGGCTGGTGCGTTAAAAAATAAAAACAATCCATTTGTACAGGTGAAGCAATGCTTCAGTTTTAAAAGATTTTTTTTTACAACATTTTGGTCCATCTTTAGCCATTATCAAGTCAACCACAATGTCTAAAAAATTCTTCTCTGAAGAATAAAAAGGCACAGTACTCTGACTGGAACAGTGCACAAATAACCGACTTGGACCATTAACTAGTCACACACTGACTAGTTAATAGTCCACAATGGACCACAGTGTCGTCATAAGTTTCTCTTACGTGCAGGCTATTTATGTATTTTCCTCTCTGAATCGTGGGTTGGTTGTGAATTCTTAATGCCATAGAAATAAGTTATTATTCTTTGAGCTATGATTTTTTTTTATTCAAGATTTTCCATAATTCAAATACCCTCATTACTAATTAACCCTAATAAAAAAGAAATTTATGTATAATATTTATCTGTCTATAATAATTTCATTTTTGTTATCTTAATCAGACACACCAACAAAATCACACTGGTCAGCGCCCACATGTCTGCGAAATCTGCAAAAAGTGTTTTACCACTGGATATGCTCTCAAGTCCCATTTACGCACTCATACTGGAGAAAAGCCTTATCAGTGTCCAGAGGAACAGTGCGGCAAGTGTTTCAAAACATCGGGGGACCTTCAGAAACATGTACGAACACACACAGGTGAGAGGATCAGCTGTAATAATTGTTATCATGACAAGTAGACGTATTAGAAGTATTTAGTACACAGGTGATATTTTACTCATGATAGACTATAAAGTCATATAAGGGATATTTTAGCAGGACATTGTATACAGGAGATATCAGTGAGTGTGAGAGGTCAGTGTCAAGTGTCATCTTTGACAATAATGTGAATGAGCCTCAGTTTCACATGTTCTTGTTTGGTTTCCTATATAACTAACTTGCAAAATTGTAGTAACACTATTGCAAACATGCCACAGAACGGGTGGAGGTTGAACGCACTGGCTTCGAATTTTACGGCTTGCTCGTCGTGGGTTCAAACCTCACCTGTTCTATGGTTTTTTTCCTGTGTAAGATGTGTTTGGTATGTGGTTTATAAATGTCATGTGCCCCTGGGTTCTGTTCTACCCATAGCAAAATACACCAAGCGTCTTATCATAGTTGTCTGCAATACCTGTGAGGGTGTAGAAAATATGCAACACACAGGTGTGTTTAAGAAACATTACTAGCTTAAAGAGACTTAAGTGTTGCACATATTTATTCAAATGAAAATGTGAAGTGCATTGAAAGCTTGCAACTTTTTTTTTTATCTAATGCTACATCAGTTTTGTATAGTGTAATGGACACGAAATCTTGGTGTTTTGAGTTTCAATAAAATTAAATATGTTCATAAATTTAAATCGCAGTAAGCATGTGACTAGGCAACTTTTCAGATGCAAAAAAAAAAAAAAATAGAATTTAAAGAAATTAATATTGAAAAGTTATAATCAGCAAGAGGAAAAACCATTACACCTACCATCCGACTTACGACCGAGCTTGGTTCCGACCGACTGGTCGTAAGTCAAAATGGACGTAAGTTGAACCTTACTACTGAATATCAACATCACATTTTTGTAAAGACTTTATTTTATTGTTTTATTTTGGTATTTCATTTTTTACATTACGTTTTATGCTGTTAATACTGTGTTTTATACTGTAAGGTTTAGGATAAACACTGTGTACATCACAAACAGTTGTTTATTTCCCAGAAATTTGGCATACAAAACATGGTCGTAAGTCGGATGGTAGGCATATTTGAATTACATATAGATGGATCTTATAACATGCATATGCTTATGCTCCTTTGCATGATCCATATCTTTATTTATTGCAGGAGAACGACCATTTAAGTGTGGGATGTGTCCAAAATCCTTCACAACATCAAATATAAGGAAAGTGCATATGAGGGTTCACACTGGTAAGTTATTGTAAGGAAATGGTCTGTTGATCTCTGTTACCTTATACATCTCACTTAGCGGCTTACTCGTTTACCTATGACTCGGACTTATGGTGGGCTCTCTGACCAATGTGGATACCTAAATAATATATGAGTTGATTTCCTCTATTCTGTGTATTACAATGTACAGTACACTACTATATAAACATTTGAAAATATACCAGGAATGTTATAAATGATACAAAGGTGACATTAAAACAATATCAAAGATTGCTGACACAAACCAACTACTGTTATAGTATACTCCTTGCTTAGTGACGAATTCATTTACCGATATGGTCTTAGGAATGGAGCTCCATCATTAAGTGAAGAGAGGCTGTATTATTGTAAAGTCGTATCTGTGTGCTTCTGGTAGGACACTGATAGTGCGAATAATGGTGAAGTTTCTTTTTTTGGGTCGCCCTGCCTCATTGGGAGATGGCTAGTGTGTTTGATTCTTTCATAGGTATATCATGGCACTCACCACTGTTTACTCCAAATTTATAATTAATTAACACTGTAATACTGAGTATAATTGGAATTTCTTAGAGAATTAATTATATTTATAATTCATAATTATCAAAAGGGCAAAAAATATGTGTAGAAACAGGCCATTGCATAATGTATCTGCATAACACAAGCCTGCACGAGGTGAGGGCATGCCAGCACCACAATAAAGACAACAGATTATTATAATCTTAAGGTTTTCTTTATTTTTGTAATTTTATTATGACTGGGTGGCATTTTCTCCTTGAAAAATGCATCTCTGGTCGATAACTGATACAAAAATAATAACTGCTTCAAATTACCTGAACTATTTGTTAATTTCCTGATGCTCAAGTGTGTGCACTCTGAAGGAGGGCTGGGATATTTACAGATTTGAGTTGTAGTATTGGTGCTCCTCTGGCAAAACAGTGTTGGTGTGAATGATGGTGAAAGTGTTTCTTCTTTTTTGAGTCGCTCTACTTTGTTGGGGAAAAAAAAAAGCCTAAGCACATTATATAATATAAAATAACAAACTGTTCTTAAAACAGGTGAAAAGCCATATGAATGCCAGTATGAAGGATGTGGCAGAAAGTTTGCCTCAGCAACCAATCATAGGAATCACTGCAGAATTCACACAGGAGAGAAACCATATGTATGCTCTGTGGAGGTGAGCACTATTACATTACATTATTATACTGACTGATATAATCTAATGAGTGTGTATAAATATTTTTTTTTTTTTTAGAATTAAGGATTTAAGAGTTCTCATTTGCAGAACTGTGGTAAAAGATTCACTGAGTATTCTTCCCTGTACAAGCATCACATGGTTCACAATCAACAGAAGAAATATTTTTGCAATCATTGTGGAAGATTTTATAGACAAATCTCAACACTGGCAGTTCATAAGGTGAGATGGTTATAATAGTACTTGCATGATGTGTAATCATATGCAGGGTGTTTAATAAGAAAAACCTTGTAGCTTTAATTTATTGAATGGTTGCAAAATACCTTTGTTTTTAGTTAAACTACATGATCAAAGTGAGCACTGATTTTCTCTATACATTTATATATTTATATATTTATACATTTATATTATATATAGTCGGACTTGAGTCCTGGAAATGAGAAGTACAATGCCTGCACTTTAAAGGAGGGGTTTGGGATATTGGCAGTTTGGAGGGATATGTTGTGTATCTTTATATGTATATGCTTCTAAACTGTTGTATTCTGAGCACCTCTGCAAAAACAGTGATGTGTGAGTGTGGTGAAAGTGTTGAATGATGATTAAAGTATTTTCTTTTTGGGGATTTTCTTTCTTCTTTGGGTCACCCTGCCTCGGTGGGAGACGGCCGACTTGTTAAAAAAAAAATTATATATCTTTCAACAAACTGGCCATATCCCACCGAGGCAGGGTAACCTAACAAGAAAAACAGGTTTCTCTTTTTAACTTTACTAATGTATACAAGAGAAGGGGTTACTAGCCTCTTGCTCCCGGCATTTTAGCTGCCTCTTATGACATGCATGGTTTATGGAGGAAGAATTCTGTTCCACTTCCCCATGGACATAAGAGGAAATAAACCAGAAGAAGAACTAGTAAGAAAATAGAAGAAAACCCAGAAGGGTGTGTATATATATATATATATATATATATCTTCTTTCTTTCAACGTACCAGCCATATCCCACCGAGGTGGGGGGGCCCAAAAGGAAAAATTAAAGTTTCTCCTTTCAAATTTAGTAATATATACAGGAGAAGGGGTTACTAGCCCCTTGCTCCCGGCATTTTAATCACCTCTTACGACACGCATGGCTTACGGAGGAAGAATTCTGTTCCACTTCCCTATGGAGATAAGAGGAAATAAACAAGAACAAGAACTAGAAAGAAAATAGAAGAAAACCCAGAGGGGTATGTATATATATGCTTGTACATGTATGTGTAGTGTGACCAAAGTGTAAGTAGAAGTAGCAAGACGTACCTGAAATCTTGCATGTTTATGAGACAGAAAAAACACCAGCAATCCTACCATTGTGTAAAACAATTACAGGCTTCCATTTTACACTCACTTGGATGGTTGTACTTCCCTGGACGGTTGCTGTCTACCACCCTATTTTTATATGACGAAACTGTAAGAAAATTCCGAGTTGCTGCGTGGCCCGGGGGATTTTGTGTGGCTTTTGACCCATTGATGTATGAGGAATAAATTCTTGAATGTATACCAAAATAAGCTTTGCTTAGTATATCAGTGCATGTTATTGATTTTATAAACCCCAAATTTACTCTTCTGTTCATCATCCCATTTTGGTAAATGTGAAATTTCTTCAGAGGAAATTGTCACCAAACAAAAGTACTGCATCTCCTTTTATAATGCTGAACAGAAAGCATTCTATAATTTATTTTCTGTGGTTAGTTTCAGTTAGGGACTGCCAAAGGTGAATTATGCTTTTGAATTCTCTAAAATTATATTTTATTCTCAGTGTGAACCAAATCACTATCCCCCTATGCTACCATAATTATACAAAAGAACAAGCTAAGGCCATGTGAGTCATGCAGCAATATCACCCATTAAACCACGGAATGGGTGAGTCGTAAAACTCCAGGACTGGCCTGGAGTTTTACGCCTCACTCGCCATGGGTTTAAACCCTACCCGTTCTATGGTTTGTTTACAGTAGTGTTGTTGTGATTTCATGAATCATTACCCATTAACTAAAGGAATTGGTTAGGTCACCCTTCTTCTTCTTCTTCTTCTTCTTCTGTTGGGTTTCAGGGCCACTGACAGCATACGCTGTATCGAGCCCGGCCATCCAGTGCTAGGAGAGGGAATATCGACCAAAGTGGAAGAATGTCTTGACTAGGTCACCCTTGGCTCCATGAGCTTGGTACTGCACGTATTAGTTGGAATTGGTAGGATTGATGCTGTGGTTTCAAACGTCAACATGGCAGTGATGTGTGTATTGCACACTGTGTATGTAAAACTCGGGTACCATTTGAATCTCAGGCAGTTATACAATAGTGTTTAGTGTTACATTTCTTGAGGAGTATGCTTGTCCTGGGCTGATGCATAATATGAGCAAATTGAAAAGCTGTCTTATTACTCTTAGGCTGTTATGTTAGGGAGGCATTCAGGTTCAATCCAAGGAAGGGGAGGATATATCCAGTTCTTTGGATCAAGAGCCCCTCGCTGGCACTAAGACACTTCCCTTGAGGAGTTGTATAATGGTAGTTTTTTTCAACAGCGCACTGTGCACAATATTATTGAGAATGAGGACAATCAGGTGTTGTGGATGGCCTCAGGACTAGAAATGGACTTGTTAACAGAAGATCAAGATGGTGATGCAAGTTCTCACAGGGAGAACACATTGTCTGCACCAAGTACATCTTCTGCCACAAGGACTGTACATATATCCTCTGGGATGGTCATCAAAAAGGAAGAAGAGGTTAGGATAAAAATATTTTGATTCATGCAGAAGAGGTATCAGCTTACTTCCCAATACTGTTTATATTTACTTCACACATTTGTTTTCATTCAAATTATGAAGTTAATAATTAAGTTTAGCCAATGTTTTTCTTTTTAAATTCTAACTGGTGTTCCTGCAGATTGTTCCTGGCAACATACTAAGTGCCCAGTTAACCATAGGAGAGGAGTGCATCAGAATGCCAAGTGTAGAAGTCAGCGGTCTTATAACTGAAGAAACACAGGGTGACACTCTGATACCGAATGATCGAGGGTCAACTTTAACTAACTTGGAGCTTGATGGAAGTGGGAGTGGATCTCTTTTTGTATTCACTGATCCATCACAACTAGCAGCACTTCAGGTAATGAATTTACCTTTTCTTTGTTAACAATTTTAAATCTTCCATATACTGTATACTTTAATTAAAAAAAAAGATCAGTATCATCCATATGAAAGGCAGATAAGGGTCCTTAAATGTATTAAGGAGCTTCTAGCTCTCTTATGAACTGACATGTTGGTAAATGGGTTATATTTATTCCTTTTAGAAGTGTTACACCAGTAAGGGTCATATAGTGCCTGGGGAATGGCAGATAATAAGGTTTCATTCAGGGAAAGAGAGGTAGCTCTAATTCTGTGGATCAAAAACCCTTCATTAAGATCTTTCTCCCTCACCCCTTCCGTCCATTCCCTTCTATCCCTGAAAACTTGGTAAGTGTAGAAGGCAGCAGCTTATATGATGCTGTATTCAGTAATTCAGACTGAAATATTTAATAACTCTTTGCACAGCACTGGAATCATGTGTACTGTATCAGGATCTTCATCAAGCATAGATTTTTTTATTGTCAAAGGAGAACACAAATTAAAAGGCTTTTTACTTTTTCAAGGTCTGTATTAAAGAAGGAGTATCCCCTTTCTCCACTAAAGTCATTGACTGTACTTTTTTTTTTCCTCACACTGGCCATCTCCCACTGAGGCAGGGTGACCTGAAAAAGAAATACTTTCACCATCAATCATACTATCACTGTTTTGCCAGAGGTGTGCAGATATGACAGTTTAGATGTCCCTATAAACAGCCATACTGTAGAGTTGTTTACGGTAAAAGAAATCATCCATGGGTAACAGATAAGAGAGGTACTTATCCAACAAGTGATGGTTGTGATAGTGGATTTTGTGGAGTCACATCATATAACAACATATAAAATTGTTAAAAAAAAGAAAGGTGGAAGGGGACAAATTGAGCTAGGTGGTAGGCAGGGCCTAAAACTGTTGGTCAAGGACGTAAAACATAGGTTGTATTTCTAATAACTCATCAAAGCCTGTGCACAGAAAAGATTATACTACTTGGATTTGAGAAAATAGATGAATATGAATTTTTGACATCACCCACAGGGGTAACAAAAGTGCTACAGTCGTAAATGAAAAACAGCAGTACTAAAAAGAATACTAGAAGATTTGTCTTTACAAATCATGATAGAATGGTGAAATGGTATCAGAGAATATATTGAGTGCTTTTTAAAAACACCAGCTATCTCACACCTAGGTAGGGTGACCTTGAAAAAGAGGAAATGGATTCACTCCCAGCATACATAAGGGGAATTACCGATAGACCTCTGGCTGTCTTCAAGAAGGCACTGGACAGGCACCTAAAGTCAGTACCTGACCAGCCGGGTTGTGGTTCGTACATAAGTTTGTGTGCGGCCAGCAGTAACAGCCTGGTTGATCAGACCCTGTTCCATCATGAGGCCTGGTCTCAGACCGAGCGTGGGGGCGTTGACCCCCGCAACCCTCTCCAGGTATACTCCACATATACCAGAAGAGCACTGACATCGCATTTCAAATGGCCTTCTGATCTGCAACACCCTCACACCTCCTCCAGAAATCAAATCTGGCTAACTAGTTTCCCTGAATCCTCTCATGAACGTTACCTTCCTTGCTTGCACTCTAACAGCATGCCAGGTCACAAATAAAAACACTTGCTACTATTACTGGAAACTAAAAATAATGACAAATTGCACACTAAAGCTTGAACACCAAAAGCGGAGCTTACCTCTTGTGGATAGGTAACCACAAATGCATAACCCCTCTCTCTATTTCTCCTGGTAATATACTGTACTTTATCATTTGTTTTCTTTCCAACAGCTAGCAGTAGCAAGCCGAGCTAGAAGAAATGGGGATGATAGTGTTGGAGACACAGTGGAAGTTATTAGGCTAGACGACTTTACTTCAGTGGCAGAGTCCACTATCACCGAAGGGTTGACGGACAGTGGGAGTACAGACCGAGGTATCAGTGAAAACAGTGGAAAAATTCTTGTAATAAAAGAAATAGACACTTAAGGAAAATTAATTTGTAGCTATTGAAAGGTCTTTCAAAGTTTTGTATTGTACTAGAAAAATGTCGAGGGTTAACCAGCGTAAATTGGTTAAAAAGAGAGATACAGTGGAACCTCTACTTACGAGTGCATCCAAGTGTGAGTTTTTCCAGATATGAGCAGTCGCTTGGTCGATTTTTTGTTTCCAGACACGAGCGAAATTTCCAGATGCGAGCAGACCTCAAGGGAGGTTCCTTGACGCTGGTAAGAGGCTCATGCTCTTGGTCTAGGGAATTGAATCTCAGTTGTTTGTTGGACTATCTTATTGAAACTTGGGCAATGTATGATGGAAAGGTGCTTCTTAACGTACACCAAAAATGAAAGAAATCGGACCATAAATAACGGAGTTCACTTCTCAGCCATTAGCCTCCCCTTAGCGGTACATTTTCTTATGGTTTTTGTGGTTGTATTCTCGTTCTTTTTGGACTTGTTTGATAGAATGGAAGATATACTACAGAAATAGATATGATTTTGATTGGTTTCACGATGAAATACCTCGAAATTGACCTCAAAGTAGCAGAAATGTTCAATTCTTTGGTGATGTTCAATACATGTCCGATTGGCACTGCCCCTCAACCTTCACATATTGGAAAGCTCTTCAACACACTAGCGAAAGTGGGATCAGACATCATGAGGTAGCAGTGGCAGACCACATGAAGCATCAGTGACAGACAACATGAAGCAGCAGTGGAAGACATTGAGGTAGCAGTGGCAGACAACATGAAGCAGCAGTGGCAGACATCATGAGGTAGCAGTGGCAGACAACATGAGGTAGCAGTGGCAGACAACATGAAGCAGCAGTGGCAGACATCACAAGGTAGCAGTGGCAGACAACATGAAGCAGCAGTGGAAGACATTGAGGTAGCAGTGGCAGACAACATGAAGCAGTGGCAGACAACATGAAGCAGCAGTGGCAGACAATATGAAGCAGCGGTGGCAGACAATATGAAGCAGCAGTGGCAGACAATATGAAGCAGCAGTGGCAGACAATATGAAGCAGCAGTGGCAGACAATATGAAGCAGCAGTGGCAGACAATATGAAGCAGCAGTGGCAGACAATATGAAGCAGCAGTGGCAGACAATATGAAGCAGCAGTGGCAGACAATATGAAGCAGCAGTGGCAGACAACATGAAACAGCAATGTCTGACTTTTTTGGGTTATCCTAGGTTCTCTACACATGTAGTCAGGAGCAAGAATGGCCACTGTGGTTGCCCTATAAACCCCAACAACAATAACGGCCGCTGTCACCACCACTAGCCACATACGTAATGACATGTATTTTATTCATTCTAGTGTATATACGTTTCTATGTTATTAATATTGTTTATTATGTCATATTAGATGAATTGTGATAGATAAATAAACTGTAGAGTTGATATTAGGGAAATTATTGAAATATTTTGTTGTGCCTGGAATTCCACTGGAACGGATTAATTCCATTTCAATTAATTTAAATGAGGAAAATTGACCCAGCAAATGAGCAAATCCAGATGTGAGCAAGGTCCCAGACGGATTAAACTCATAAGTAGAGGTTCCACTGTAGTAGTAAACGTATGAAGTTTACGGTGTTCTAAATTGTGAGGTTTACAGTAAATATTGTAAATTGTATGCCCTTTATTGGATGTGATAACCTATTAAACTATCATTAGCATTCATTGCATACATGATAGCTTATGTATTCTCTGCTGATTGGTTCGGGCTGAGTTTGTAAATGCTTTGTATTGAACTAAAAAAAATTTGTATATTTTTTCTTTTGAACTTGTTATTTAAATATTGACTTCAGAGGTAAATAAATGAATAGCTTGAATTTAATTAAGGTTTTTCATCATTTGCTACATTCATGAGTAAGTGCTAAACCCATGCGTGTTATACAGAGCATGGTCAGTGGTAGGATAATTGGATTTGATCCAAGAAGGATTTTTTCAAAGCTTTATCTGGCAAATTGATAGCTGTGTAATTCATCATAACTTTTATACTACTCTTTATCTAACCTTTCTAAAATGTTAACACTCCTGTATGTAAATTTGACCTGGATATATAATTAAAGCCATTTGCAAATGGAAAGTAATGACTAGTTAAAAGTCCCCACTGTTATTTACTCTTGGCACTCCAGCTTTCCTAACTATGCTCTCAACAACAGTTTCTTGCACTTAATATTAAGATCTCCCAAAACTATTATTCTCTCACTTTGCTCAAAATTCCCTAAATATTCCCTTAACACCAAAAATCTTTATCCTCGCATACATTTTCCTTCAGGCACATAAACATTTACAACTCATTTTTCAAACCCTGCTTTTATTTTTCTCTGATTTGAGAATGAGAGGAGGGATGGTGCTCCAGTGTCCATTAATGCCACTCCACTGACCAGGCATACAGACTGATTAAAATAAGGGTCAAAGTTCTAGCCAGTATGTAAGAAGGCAGGATAATAAAAATGGCAGAAAATTGGGAAAAACAAATGCTGTTTACCAAATACTGCCTTTATTGTTATGATTAATGATAGACATTATGGCAGCCCTGGGCAAGTGTCATACATTAATGGTATACAAAACTGATAAGTTAATGAATGAGACACTTGTGCAACACTTGGATGTCTTCATTACCCAAACATTTTGCCTATACAGCAGACTTTTTTCAAAAGATAGTGAAAGAAGTGGAGAGAAAAAAAAAAACTGCCATGCAGGTGAAATTTAAGATATAAAAGTGTACCACTTGTGTTATGCATCACCCCTGGGTAAGCTTTCTTCACATTTTTCCACCACCATTCCCCACATTCTTCAGCCACCAATCCCCATATTCTTCCACCACCAGTCCTATCTAATGACTGCTTAACCATAGTACAGCAATTCCCCGAGATACGAGATCAATATATCCTACAAGATGGCTCGAATTGTGAAAACTTGTCTGACAGAAACGTATTAGACATTACTTTCCCAACCAAATGTCAGTGTTTTTCATTACAACATAGTATCATTTGAAAGCAAGAAAACAAATACAGTACAAATATAACAGCTGATGTGCAGTGTGCCTAATTCAAATACTCCTATTTGCACAAAAACACCCTTATGCAATTCTCGTATTGGTAAAAAAAAAAAAAAGGCGTTTGTATATTGATGTTGGGTAATAGAGAAAGTTGCTTGTATTGGTGAAATCTTGTATCGAGGGTTCTTGTATCTTGGGGAACTGCTGTACTGCTTTGAAGCTACTTTCCACTTACTTGGCTCAAACCTGATTACACTACCTCCCATTTTCCGTGGGTTTATCATTTCTCAGAAAATATACGTAATTTATAATTACAAAATAAAGCTGGGTCACCATGCCTCGGTGGGCAACAGCCAGTGTGTTAACTGATGGGCTGTAGTCTATTAATTAGCTTTATTTCAGAATATATTTAAGGTACAGAATGATACTTCACACCAATATGCTTGAAACAAATATTCCACGGAATGAAGGTCTGCTTTTTCAACTCTTGACATTACTGCTTAAGTAATTTAATCCAACAATTCTAGTCTTCATTTATGCATGCATGACACTATTCTACTTGACTCTTATTGTTATAGTAATTGAAAGTTTTTATATGGTTTAAGTGTTTACTGCCATCTAGATAAATAAAATGAACTGGACAGTATATTAATTTGTTTATAAATAAAAAAATCTTGTGTAATATTTTAGTGATAATTATGATAATTTAAGATGCAATAAAATATGCATGGTACAAAGCTTTTATAAATGATGAGATTGAGTGATGGAATTTATAAACATCAAATGCCAGTATTATTGTACACTGTATTGTATATGCACGTTCCATGTTTCAGTTCAGTTGAAGACGAATAATATAAAATGCAATCGCCACTGGCATCTGGAAAAAATTATCAGCCAGGCATTACTAGCAATGTTAGCCTGCAGAGCACTAGCAACAAGAGCTTGGTTGTCCAGGCAGTCAGCAAGGAGGCCTGGCCTCAGGCTGGACTGCAAGAGGAGAACTCTCGAATCCAGTCACAGATGTCGCCACTATTTTATACTGACCCTTGTGGATTTAGCATTTAGTGTTGATTGTAATAATAATTGTACTGCTAATCATTATAAATTCTGCCTGCATATTATATTTAATTTTAAGAACTATTGTAATACTACAATATGAAGATACTGTTATGGGTTATATAGGTTCTTAATCCTTAAACTGTCCAAATGTAGATCTATGTTCACTTGCATAGCACTCCGAGTGTAGATCTATGTTCATTTACGTAGCACTCCGAGTGTAGATCTATGTTCACTTGCGTAGCACTCCGAGTGTAGATCTATGTTCACTTGCGTAGCACTCCGAGTGTAGATCTATGTTCACTTGCGTAGCACTCCGAGTGTAGATCTATGTTCACTTGCGTAGCACTCCGAGTGTAGATCTATGTTCGATTTTACATGCTTTCTTATGTAAAAAAAACGTACATCTACATTCAGAGTGCTATGCAAGTGAATGTATTATTATTATTATTATTATAATCAAGGGGGAAGCGCTAAACCCGGAGGATTATACAGCGCCTGGGGGGGGGGATGTGGAAGGCATTCAGGCTTAATTTGGGGAACTGGAGCACAGATCCAATTCCCTAAATCAAGAGCCCCTCACCAACATCAAGGAACCTTCCTTGAGGGGCAAGTGAATGTAGATCTACATTTGGACAGTTTAAGGGTTAAATGATTCACCCACCAGTGTTTGTACTGTTTGTCAGTACCTCTGAATTTTTTTTTGACTTGAAAATCTAATGTTTGAATATTTTATATGTATTCATTAGTGATGACATAATTGTAGGTGATGTGAGCACCAAAGTCTACACCTGTACATTACTGCATTGCTGTAGCCAGTGCTTGTAAAATTATCTCTGCATTATATTTCTGAAATGCCTGTCAATTTCTTAAATTTATACCGGGTTGAAAATTTAATGAAAGATTGAATAAAAGTTACTTCTTGTAATTGACTTGATTTATATAAAGTAATCTTTATATTATTCCACAAACCTGTGTTGGGCTTTAGCAGCACTCTTTTGGGAGGCCCAGTTAAGAGCCAAGCAAGTCCTGTGCCTTTTTTTTTTTCTCCTCAATAGTGGAGCTATTTTCTTGATGGTAGCACTGTATGACCCTTATGGGTTTAGCATTTAATGATTATAATACAGTATTTTCTCAAAGGAATCTCGTTCTACAGAGGATTGACTTTTTCAAGTTGAGGATCTTTGCTGTGGTAAAGAGGCTCTTGATCTAGGGAATTGGATCTTTTAGTCTTCTTCAGGCCAAATCTAAGTGCCCCTGCTCCTATCTTCCCCACCCCATCTTTCCCATCCCAGTTCCTTTCCCTATGCCTCTTTTTCCTATGTATGGCCTTTAGGGATCTTCCCTTAGACATTATAGCTCCTAGGTTCAGGAAAGAATCTGCCCCATTCTGGTGGTCTGCCTACCAACCTGGTGGTGTTAGTACATCTAAATTATTATTATAATCAAAAGGAAGCACTAAACTGCAAGGGTTATACAGTAGTAGTATATCTAGAGATTAGAGATGTACTAACACTCCTGAGGGCAGCTTTAGGTGTCAAGGTGATAGGTGTATCTCTAGAGGCTCTGGCTACCCTCTGGCACAGCCCTTGGCAGAAGAGGATGCTTGCTTGCACCTAGATGCTTCCTGTAGTAAATGAGTGTAGATGATGAATGAGGAGAGGAAGGATAGAAAGTAAGGATCTTAGTAAATGATCATCAATTGGTTATGGAGGAAGAGTTTAAGAAATCAGTTGGAATGCGAGGCAACGTGTTTTAAATGAGGATGGCTTAACATAACTGCCTGTTTAGATAGCACCAGTGGTGCTAAAGTTAAGAATAGGTGAAGGTGAACCAAAATACAGTGGACCCCCGGTTAATGATATTTTTTCATTCCAGAAGCATGTTCAGGTGCCAGTACTGACCGAATTTGTTCCCATAAGGAATATTGTGAAGTAGATTAGTCCATTTCAGACTCCCAAACATACACGTACAAATGCACTTACATAAATACACTTACATAATTGGTTGCATTGGGAAGTGATCGTTAAGCGGGGGTCCACTGTATATATGCCTTTTGTAGCCACACCTAGATACGTAGACAACCTCCAATACAGTAATTCTTAATCCATCTGATTCTTCAGCGGAGATTCCCAAATGATGCAAGGACTTGGATTTATCCTCTCCTTCCTTGGGTCAAACCCAATTGCCTTATTTCCCCAGATGCTGTACAGCTCTTGCGGATTAGCATTTCCTCCTAAACATAATACGTAATAATGGTAATAACCCTCCCAATATAATATTAAACAATTTAATTGTCTATGACTCCATATTCTCATTACTTGTAAATAGGTTGAGGTTTGAATGTAACATGCTTATATGAGGCCAGACATGTGCAGAAATTGACAAAAGGATTGAAGTGAAAGAGTTGTGGAGTCCCTCTTACATAGACCTCTGTAAGCATATTGAAATGCCTTGCAAGTGGAGGCAAATGGTTTCTATGACCTGACGTGCTGTTGGGGAGTGTAAGCAAGGTAAAATTTATGAAGGGACTAAAGTTCAGCCTGCCAGTTTCCCTAAGTCCTGGAGGTGGGAAGTACAGCACCTGCACTCTGAAGGAGGGGTGTTATGTTGCAGTTTTATAACTGTAGTGTAGGTGTGCCTCTGGCAAGACAGTGATGGAGTGAATAATGATGAAAGTGTTTCTTCCTTTTTGGGTCACCCTATCTTGGTGAGAAATGGCTGATGTGTTAATAAAAAAAATAACTTCTCATAACCATGAACTTTTTATTGCACAAATATAGTAAATTAAAACAGCATTATTGTAATTGTAAATATATAAACAACTTTAATGAGCATAGTGTGCTGTAGATTATATTTGACATAATACCATATTACTTTTTACTTCATTTAAGAAAAAAGTACAGTAGTTAGGGAAATATTCACCAATTAATACTTATTACCAAGATTAATTTTTTTTTCACAATGGTAGGAATGTAGTTCTGGAATGGTTTGTGAATTTGTTTAATATGTTTGAACTATGAATGAAGAAAAGGTATGCAAGGAGTGGAAGATAAACATGCATAATTACTGTGAGGGGGGGGGAATAAAATGGAACAAGACGACTTTACAAACTTGTTCACAAACAATTTGCAAGTATACCGAGTAAAAGTGAAAAGTAGAATTATAAAAATAATAATACAATGAGAACTAAGTACTAAACCCACAAGGGTCATTATTATAAAAAAGATTTAGGGAAAAAACAGACAATAGGAGTAGAGATTAACAAGGATGATTTAGGAGGGGAACTGATGCATCAACAAAGTATTTGCATAAAACATTTAAGTGTGAAATACTTAGAAAACGGTAAGATCGTGTTTGTTGCATACATGGTTTTAGGAAATAAAGTGTGGACAGGGAAGCAATGTGGGTGGTGTTGCAAATGCATGAAAATGTAGTAGGTTGTTAAAATGCCATGTAGTGGGAATTAGCACAGTTACTTTATTGATAGGCAAAATTTTGGGAGAGGTGGCCAAGATGGGTATGGAAGTTTGAGATGGTTTTAAAATCAGGATGTTGAAAGCACACTAAAGAGCAAGAGTTAAAAGTCTAAAGGACGAGAGATTTTATGCCAGCCTGGAGACAAGGAATACGGAGGAAGTGAATGTATTGTATTTAGATATTTTTGAGTTAATATGCCAGCAGATGGGTCTGTGAATGACATGGTGATTCATAAAATGAAAGAACAGAAAAGACATGATGCAGAACAAATGAACTACAATCTTGTGTAGACATATGTATGGAATATAAATCTGTGATAACCTAGTCATTTCATAAACTATAATACTGTGAATATTTTAAATATGAATGAAATTTAAGAATACGAAGGTATTTAACCATCTGTCACACTACATGTATGTCAAAGATATATACTATGCACATGTGTGTATGTACACCATGAGTTTAATCCTTATACAGTGGACCCCTGGATAACGATCAGCTCCCAACTCGACCAATTATGTAAATTTATTTTTGTAAGTGCTTTTGTAGGTGTATTTTTAGGGGTCTGAAATGGACTAATCTAATTCACAATATTTCTTATGGGAACAAATTCGGTCTATAACTGCACCCAAACAGACTTCTGGATTGAAATAATATCGTTATGCGGGGTCCACTGTGTAAGGGATGACAGAATTTTGATTGGTGTACAAGTAAAACGCAGTCTTAATTACCATAAAGTAAATAATACCCTCGTGTAGTAGATAGGCTCTAAATCTGACAAGCCATCCAATCATTGGTGCCTGCTAAAACTTTTGTAATGGATAAACTTTTCCAAGTGGAGAGAGGAATGGGGTAAGGGCCAAGGAATACCAAACTCACAGCTTGACATAAGCCAGATTCAGGGAGTAGCAAGTACCCTATTCCCTGGGCTCTTACTCCTTCCTGAGTGGCTGCCCATGCAACCAACCTATGTAATTTACAGGACAGTACAAAACCTTTCAAACCAAGGCCCATTAATTCTGAATATCAGTTTGGCGGGCCTGTCACCACCTTTATTTAATGCACAATTTCACTTTCTTCTTTTTCAAGTCGCCCTGCCTTGGTGGGAGGCAGCCGGTATGTTGAAAAACAAAGTGTCATCTATAAATCAGAGGTATAATATGGGGAACATTTTTGGAAAATCAAAAATGTTGAATTTTAACTGAGAATATATACACGTGATAATGTTATACACAAATACATTACATCTTAATGATGTTGAATGTAATGGTGCAAGCTGCTGCTACCTCCCTATAATGCACATTTCCCCATTAAAAAGAAAATTATAGAGCTCTCAAACTAATAAAACTGTACAAAATTATTAATAATACATTATAATCACTGATTAATGTAATTATCATCTACATCATGGAAAAGATATAGCTGTAAACCATAATGCGATGCACTAATAAGTCAGGAGCAACAAATTCCAAAATGTATACAAGTATTCTTATTTGAAAGGGAGTGCTTTTAACCATTTTTTTTATTTTTTTGTTAAACGCTATCACAAGCTACAACAGATAACAACCTATTAAATCAACCCTGAGGATTCTGTAACATTACTGTATTATCAGCAAGTACTCTCTTTAGATGTCACAAAGCTGCTGTAGTTGAGATTACAAGAAGCTGCTGCTAAAGACGTGATACTCTACGAGTAGTGTCTAGTCAGAAGCGGATGATCATGGTGTTGTCATTGCCCTTTTCACTGGTGTATCCAAGAGAACCATAAAAAGGCTTCATTTCGTCTTTGCAGTCCAATCCCAGCTTGTAGCAGCCAACTTCCTTTGCTAGAAGAGTGATCGTGGTGACAATGCTGTGGAGAAATAAGTTGTTAATATCAGCTACTTGGGAAAAATAATAGACTTAGTGATGAAGACCTACTCGCTTGAGTTACTTTCCCTTTAGAGTTTAGCACTTAAGTTATGATTATAATATTATTTTCCCTTCAGCACTCCTCACTGCCCTTACAGATTGCCTCTGGGGTCCTCTTCACCCCTCGCTGGTCTGATCTGGTATATTTCAACTGTAGTAGACCCTACCCTGCAGTGCTGTATAACCCTTGTGGGTTTAGCACTTAGTTTTGATTGCAACAATAATAATAATAATAATAATAATAATACTTATCCGAGTCTCTTCAACTGAGTTTCTTTATAAAGGTGAAGCTCCTAATCCAAGGAATTGGATGTGCCCTCCCCTTCTTTGGATTGAATCTGAATGCCTCCCATTTCCCCCCAGGCACTGTATGACCCAAAAGGGTTTAGCACTCGCCATAAATGTAACAATAATCCTAGTCACCATGTGTTCCCTTGAATATAATACAAATACCATATTAGTATTATTATTAATAACACATTAATATTACTCATAATACAGTATGAGCCTCAGCAATCAATACCAAAGTTCCAAAAATACATCACCTAAAAGGGCTCTTGAGCCAAGGTCAGTGCTGTATGACCCTGGTGGGCTTAGCACTCATTTCTGATTGTAATAATATGGTACAATATCCTCCATATCAAAATGTACAGTGGAACCTCAAATATCGAACTTTCTTCGGTCCAGAAGGCTGTTCGAGTGCCACTACCTAACGAATTTATTCCCATCAGGAATAATGTAAATTAGATTGGTCCATTAAGACCCTCAAAAATACACTTATAAAAGCACTTACAAAAATACACTTACATAATTGGTCGAGTTGGGAGCAGTTCGATTTTTGAGGTTCCACTGTATTTACACTAATATAGTACAATATTTCAATAAAAAAAGAAAAACAAAACTGTCATCAGACAGCAGGGTGAAAAAGAAATTAGCCTGAGTTATGAATATAGGATGTGCACTGCACTGCCTTCACTCTGAAGAATGAGTGAGGATGTTGCAGCTTAGTGGAGCATAAGAGGTCATATCTATCCACTTGTGGTTAACATTATTTTTTTTATGTTGACACAGTAGGAAAGTGCTGTGTGACTCTGGTAGATTGAGCACTTATTATTATTATTAAAAAAAAAAAAACTGACACTGCAGGGAGAGAGAGAGAGAATGAGTGTGACTTGTCTGAATAACCCAAATTTATGTTTAATTTCATTGTTAAAAAATTCAGTAGTATATGAAATTAAATATGGAATATTATGGCTTGGGTATGCATCTCAAATTATAATATGGGTGTCTGTGGGATTAAAAGTTCAGGTTTCCAAACACTCCAAGTTATGACTAATTTCCATGACTGCATCTTGTTCATAAGTTGGGGCTTTACTGTACTGCTGCATATTCTGAGTGACTCATATATAGCACTTAGAAGCAGCTCCCATGAGCTATACGTATGTTGATTACTGATAAAGTACAGTACACCTGTAAATTAAATATAGCACGTAGTACTGTGTATGTGCTTTACACAACGAGAAGTGTTTCTTTTATTTGTTGGAACTATGGCTAGGGCTAAAAGCAGGTTATAACAATAAATGGAGAAAAAGAAATTGGAATGACTTATGCAGCAAGTAGTGCCACTAAACAGTAGCAGCAGGTTGGTGTGGCGACCCTGGAAATTTGAAATTATGCTAGCTGAAATTAGTGCCATATTACTGATGGAACTGGATAACTGACTGCCAGATTAGTGATGGCCAACCTGTACTATTTTTTTGAAATGAAAGGTAAGATCCAGCTTAACATATCAATTAATTGTTGCTCCATTACAAGACACATTGAGGGCAAATTTCTAGGTCTTTGCATTGACTACAATCTTAACTTTCAGACCCACATCCAACATACATCCAAGAGAGTTTTCAAAACAGTAGGCATCTTTTACAAGATACGGAAGAGCTTGTGGTTTTTAAAGGGCTAGAGGGTGAGTGGGCAGAGGGAAGGAGGGAGCATAAAAAATAAAGAAGAGAAAAGCGGGACAGAAAAAAAAGGATGTCAAGAACGATTAAGTGTGTGAGAACAAGACGTGTAATACTTACAGTTTTCCCAACTGCTTGCCTCGGTACTCATTATTAACAACGACATCCTCTAGGCGTCCACGCTGTGGAAGCAATCACATTAATACAGTATTTACATAAAGGCCTTATATATATACAGTATACATACATACATTAAATCAAGCCCTGCTCACCAGCATCAAGGCATCATTCATGAAGGGAATAAAAATAGCCTATGAGATATGTACAGAAAGTCTTTGGAAGCAGGAAGAGTTCCTCAAAGTTAGAAATATACAAATGTGTACCACTAATTCATAATGAAAGTATTGAAGAAAACCATGACCAATCAGTTGAACTTTCCACATATATATATATATATTTTTTTTTTTTTTCAACAAGTTGGTCGTCTCCCACCGAGGCAGGGTGACCCAAAAAAGAAAGAAAATCCCCAAAAAGAAAATACTTTCATCATCATTCAACACTTTCACCACACTCACACATTATCACTGCTTTTGCAGAGGTGCTCAGAATACAACAGTTTAGAAGCATATACGTATAAAGATACACAACATATCCCTCCAAACTGCCAATATCCCAAAACCCCTCCTTTAAAGTGCAGGCATTGTACTTCCCATTTCCAGGACTCAAGTCCGACTATAAGAAAATAACCGGTTTCCCTGAATCCCTTCACTAAATATTACCCTGCTCACACTCCAACAGATCGTCAGGTCCCAAGTATCATTCGTCTCCATTCACTCCTATCTAACACGCTCATGCACGCTTGCTGGAAGTCCAAGCCCCTCGCCCACAAAACCTCCTTTACCCCCTCTTTCCAACTCTTTCGAGGACGACCCCTACCCCTCTTTCCTTCCCCTATAGATTTATATGCTTTCCAAGTCATTCTACTTTGATCCATTCTCTCTAAATGACCAAACCACCTCAACAACCCCTCTTCTGCCCTCTGACTAATGCTTTTATTAACTCCACACCTTCTCCTAATTTCCACACTCCGAATTTTCTGCATAATATTTACACCACACATTGCCCTTAGACAGGACATCTCCACTGCCTCCAACCGTCTCCTCGCTGCTGCATTTACCACCCAAGCTTCACATCCATATAAGAGTGTTGGTACTACTATACTTTCATACATTCCCTTCTTTGCCTCCATAGATAACGTTTTTTGACTCCACATATACCTCAACGCACCACTCACCTTTTTTCCCTCATCAATTCTATGATTAACCTCATCCTTCATAAATCCATCCGCCGACACGTCAACTCCCAAGTATCTGAAAACATTCACTTCTTCCATACTCCTCCTCCCCAATTTGATATCCAATTTTTCTTTATCTAAATCATTTGATACCCTCATCACTTTACTCTTTTCTATGTTCACTTTCAACTTTCTACCTTTACACACATTCTCAAACTCATCCACTAACCTTTGCAATTTTTCTTTAGAATCTCCCATAAGCACAGTATCATCAGCAAAAAGTAACTGTCAATTCCCATTTTGAATTTGATTCCCCATAATTTAATCCCACCCCTCTCCCGAACACCCTAGCATTTACTTCTTTTACAACCCCATCTATAAATATATTAAACAACCATGGTGACATTACACATCCCTGTCTAAGACCTACTTTTACCGGGAAGTAGTCTCCCTCTCTTCTACACACCCTAACCTGAGCCTCACTATCCTCATAAAAGCTCTTTACAGCATTTAGTAACTTACCACCTATTCCATAAACTTGCAACATCTGCCACATTGCTCCTCTATCCACTCTATCATATGCCTTTTCTAAATCCATAAATGCAATAAAAACTTCCCTACCTTTATCTAAATACTGTTCACATATATGCTTCAATGTAAACACTTGATCTACACATCCCTACCCACTCTGAAGCCTCCTTGCTCATCCGCAATTCTACATTCTGTCTTACCTCTAATTCTTTCAATTATAACTCTACCGTATACTTTTCCTGGTATACTCAGTAAACTTATTCCTCTATAATTTTTACAATCTCTTTTGTCCCCTTTCCCTTTACATAAAGGAACTATACACGCTCTCCGCCAATCCCTAGGTACCTTCCCCTCTTTCATACATTTATTAAACAAAAGTACCAACCACTCCAACACTAATATCCCCCCCTGCTTTTAACATTTCTGTCATGATCCCATCAGTTCCAGCTGCTTTACCCCCTTTCATTCTACGTAATGCCTCACGTATCTCCACCACACTTACATTCTGCTCTTCTTCACTCCTAAAAGATGGTATACCTCCCTGGCCAGTGCATGAAATTACCGCCTCCCTTTCTTCCTCAACATTTAAAAGTTCCTCAAAATATTCTCGCCATCTACCTAATACCTCCCTCTCCCCATCTACTAACTCCCCTACTCTGTTTTTAACGGACAAATCCATACTTTCCCTAGGCTTTCTTAACTTGTTTAACTCACTCCAAAATTTTTTCTTATTTTCATTAAAATTTCTTGACAGTGCCTCTCCCACTCTTTCATCTGCTCTCCTTTTGCACTCTCTCACCACTCTCTTCACCTTTCTTTTACTCTCCATATACTCTGCTCTTCTTATAACACTTCTGCTTTGTAAAAACCTCTCGTAAGCTACCTTTTTCTCTTTTATCACACCCTTTACTTCATCATTCCACCAATCACTCCTCTTTCCTCCTGCCCCCACCCTCCTATAACCACAAACTTCTGCCCCACATTCTAATACTGCATTTTTAAAACTATTCCAACCCTCTTCAACCCCACCACTACTCATCTTTGCACTAGCCCACCTTTCTGCCAATAGTCGCTTATATCTCGCCCGAACTTCCTCCTCCCTTAGTTTATACACTTTCACCTCCCTCTTACTTGTTGTTGCCACCTTCCTCTTTTCCCATCTACCTCTTACTCTAACTGTAGCTACAACTAAATAATGATCTGATATATCAGTTGCCCCTCTATAAACATGTACATCCTGGAGCCTACCCATCAACCTTTTATCCACCAATACATAATATAACAAACTACTTTCATTACGTGCTACATCATACCTTGTATATATATTTATCCTCTTTTTCATAAAATATGTATTACTTATTACCAAATTTCTTTCTACACATAGCTCAATTAAAGGCTCCCCATTTACATTTACCCCTGGCACCCCAAATTTACCTACTACTCCCTCCATAACATTTTTACCCACTTTAGCATTGAAATCCCCAACCACCATTACTCTCACACTTGATTCAAAACTCCCCACGCGTTCACTCAACATTTCCCAGAATCTCTCTCTCTCCTCTACACTTCTCTCTTCTCCAGGTGCATACACGCTTACTATAACCCACTTTTCACATCCAATCTTTATTTTACTCCACATAATCCTTGAATTTATGCATTTGTAGTCCCTCTTTTCCTGCCATAGCATATATATATATATATATATATATATATATATATATATATATATATATATATATATATATATATATATATATATATATATATATATATATATATATATATATATATATATATATGTACATTATATAAGGTTCTTGGTAAAAATCCAGTGATTATGCGAGTATCACTGTATATCCTCAGGAAGCACTAAACTTGTAGGGGTCATGTCACACCTAGGAAATGGAAGCAAATCAGATTTGTTTCAAGGAAGGAAAGAATACCCCCAGCTAATTGGATCAAGATATCACTAACATCAGACAAAATTTTACTGAATTAAATTTGGTGGGACACCATCCCAAAAACACACTGCTGGTAAGACTCAGACAAATGAGAACCCTATGTGTAATCAGTATTTAAAGTTATATCACTGTCAGTGCAAGCAATAAATAAAATATTTATGAGAAAATGGTAAACTTCTCCATAAAGTAACTGGGGAAACTGAAGACAATCGGGTTTAATCCAGGGAATTAGAGGATAACTCCAATTTCTTAAATGTACAAGGTACACTTCACCAGCATCAAGGTAATTACCTCTCTTGAAAAGTTACACACAGTATAAGAAAATACTCAATAATTAAATCTTCAAGTAGGTCAGCACTTACCCTTATTCCACCACAGGGTGACCAGGACGACTGAAGCACAATACATTATTACCAGAATACCAAACAAGGTTACATAATACCACCACAACATTGCTATGTTCATTCTCCTCTTTCTTACTGGAAGTCACCTGTAATTTTTATACTTTATTGAGTTATTCTAGGTTCTCTACACATACGCTGCTATGTATGATAGTCTATGTAATTGTATTTGTGTATACCTGAATAAACTTACTGCATCTGCTGTTGCATTGTGGCCATTTACTGTTAGCCATTAATAATAATAATAATAAGAGATGCTTCTATAGCTGCATGATCCAAGAAATGTATCCACTGTATCCCTGGACCCACTGTGTACCTTGGTAATTCTTTGACTACCACCTACAGGATGGGTATGGGAAGCCTACTGCCAATAGATTGGTATGGGGAGATTACTACCCACAGGATGGATATGGAATGACTACCACCCACAGGATGGATATGGAATGACTACCACCCACAGGATGGATATGGAATGACTACCACCCACAGGATGGATATGGAATGACTACCACCCACAGGATGGATATGGAATGACTACCACCCACAGGATGGATATGGAATGACTACCACCCACAGGATGGATATGGAGTGACTACCCACTGTGTACCTTAGTAATTCTTTGATGTCCACCTACAGGATGGGTATGGATATGGGGTGACTAATGCCCACAGATGGATATGGAATGACTACTGCCCACAGGATGGATATAAAGAGACTACCACCCACAGGATGAGTATGGAGCGACTACCACCCACAGGACGGATATGGAGCGACTACCACCCACAGGACGGATATGGAGCGACTACCACCCACAGGACGGATATGGAGCGACTGCCGCCCACAGGACGGATATGGAGCGACTGCCGCCCACAGGACGGATATGGAGCGACTGCCGCCCACAGGACGGATATGGAGCGACTGCCGCCCACAGGACGGATATGGAGCGACTGCCGCCCACAGGACGGATATGGAGCGACTGCCGCCCACAGGACGGATATGGAGCGACTGCCGCCCACAGGACGGATATGGAGCGACTGCCGCCCACAGGACGGATATGGAGCGACTGCCGCCCACAGGACGGATATGGAGCGACTGCCGCCCACAGGACGGATATGGAGCGACTGCCGCCCACAGGACGGATATGGAGCGACTGCCGCCCACAGGACGGATATGGAGCGACTGCCGCCCACAGGACGGATATGGAGCGACTGCCGCCCACAGGACGGATATGGAGCGACTGCCGCCCACAGGACGGATATGGAGCGACTGCCGCCCACAGGACGGATATGGAGCGACTGCCGCCCACAGGACGGATATGGAGCGGACATTGCCGCCCACAGGACGGATATGGAGCGACTGCCGCCCACAGGACGGATATGGAGCGACTGCCGCCCACAGGACGGATATGGAGCGACTGCCGCCCACAGGACGGATATGGAGCGACTGCCGCCCACAGGACGGATATGGAGCGACTGCCGCCCACAGGACGGATATGGAGCGACTGCCGCCCACAGGACGGATATGGAGCGACTGCCGCCCACAGGACGGATATGGAGCGACTGCCGCCCACAGGACGGATATGGAGCGACTGCCGCCCACAGGACGGATATGGAGCGACTGCCGCCCACAGGACGGATATGGAGCGACTGCCGCCCACAGGACGGATATGGAGCGACTGCCGCCCACAGGACGGATATGGAGCGACTGCCGCCCACAGGACGGATATGGAGCGACTGCCGCCCACAGGACGGATATGGAGCGACTGCCGCCCACAGGACGGATATGGAGCGACTGCCGCCCACAGGACGGATATGGAGCGACTGCCGCCCACAGGACGGATATGGAGCGACTGCCGCCCACAGGACGGATATGGAGCGACTGCCGCCCACAGGACGGATATGGAGCGACTGCCGCCCACAGGACGGATATGGAGCGACTGCCGCCCACAGGACGGATATGGAGCGACTGCCGCCCACAGGACGGATATGGAGCGACTGCCGCCCACAGGACGGATATGGAGCGACTGCCGCCCACAGGACGGATATGGAGCGACTGCCGCCCACAGGACGGATATGGAGCGACTGCCGCCCACAGGACGGATATGGAGCGACTGCCGCCCACAGGACGGATATGGAGCGACTGCCGCCCACAGGACGGATATGGAGCGACTGCCGCCCACAGGACGGATATGGAGCGACTGCCGCCCACAGGACGGATATGGAGCGACTGCCGCCCACAGGACGGATATGGAGTGACTACCGCCCACAGGACGGATATGGAGTGACTACCACCCACAGGATGGATATGGAGTGACTACCACCCACAGGATGGATATGGAGTGACTACCACCCACAGGATGGATATGGAGTGACTACCACCCACAGGATGGATATGGAGTGACTACCACCCACAGGATGGATATGGAGTGACTACCACCCACAGGATGGATATGGAGTGACTACCACCCACAGGATGGATATAGAGTGACTACCCACTGTGTACCTTAGTAATTCTTTGACGTCCACCTACAGGATGGGTATGGATATGGGGTGACTAATGCCCACAGATGGATATGGAGTGACTACCACCCACAGGATGGATATGGAGTGACTACCACCCACAGGATGGATATGGAGTGACTACCACCCACAGGATGGATATGGAGTGACTACTGCCCACAGGATGAATATGAAGTATACTACCACCCACAGGATGGATATGGAGTGACTACCATCCACCATATGGATGTGAAATACATAAAAAAAGGGTATCACACTAATTAACATGGTTATAATAAAGATTTACATTATTTTGTGTCTGTTCTTTCAACGTATACAACACTAAACGTCTAAAGATTGCATTCTGCTCAATTGACAGAATGGCACTGAGGGGATTACACGTGGCACAGATGTAACTGCTAGGACTGAAGAACAAGTGGAAAGGCAAAGTGCAGAATTGGAGCAGGTGTGGGAAGGGGAAGGGTTCATGGGGCAAGTGTTCATGCAGCTGCTTATCATTGTCGTCCACCCTCCCTCCATCTTTTCTCCTCTCCCACCCTCTCTCCCTCTCTTCTCCCACCCTTTTGCTTTCTTCTTTTCTTTCATGGGATAGACCATAATAAAAGAGGTTAATTACCAAATAATACCTGGAGTAACTTTAGCTTTGCTGTATTATTTCTTATATCAAACTTAATTACTCCTTATTCCCCAGATACTACGACCTCTACAGATTTATCGCTTCACATGAATATCATAATCTTGGCGAGTGAAGGTAGTGTTTGTGCCTCCCAATGCACAGACACTGTATGATCCCTTGTGAGTTTAGCACTTCCCCATGATAATAATAATAATAATATAATAATAATAATAATAATAATAATAATTGGGGAAGTGGAAAAGAATCCTTCCATACGCCATGCATGTCAGAAAAGAAAACTAAAATACTGGAAGCAAGGGGCTAGTAACCCCTCTGTATATATTACTAAATGTGAAAAGAAAAACAAAAACCTTCGTTTTTTTCTTCTCCAGGTCACTCTGCCTTGGCACAAGCCAGTTGGCGTGTTAGAAAAATAATTACATTTATGGGGGAGCTCTATGCTTATAGGGATCATACAGCACCTGGGAGGAATGGAAGGCATTTAGGCTCTAGTCACGGAATTAGAGCATAGGTCCAGATCCTTACATCTGTACCTATGCTCTAATTCCATCAAGAAACCTCCCTTGAGGGTATATAATATTAGTAAGTGGAGTGTAGGAGGCACCTTGGCACAGCCACGGATGAACTTAAGCTCACAGGCGAGTGTGGCAGAACCAACGATCTGTCCCAGCAGAGTGTCCTCTATGACAGTCACATAGTAGTGGCCGGGGCAGCTCCTCATAGCATCAAACCTTTCTGAAACACAATGGAAGTATTTATTAATGGTTCTGAGATAAGATAAAGTAGGAATAATGAAGAATAAAGAGGATTTAGTAAAGGTATGAGATGTGAAGACCAAGTGTTTGTATTGTGGGATACTTTCCTTGGATTGCACAGTGAAGAGATCTGTTTGGATTTTTAACCTGTGGGAGGGTTAACCACCCAGGACAACCTAAGAAAGTCAGTACATTATCGAGGATTGTTATTTCCATTGGGGAAGTCCTTCAATCTTATTCCCCAGGATGCCACCAGTTGACTAACACCCAAGTGCCTACTTACTGCTAGGTGAACAGGGACAGCAAGTGTAAGGAAACATGCCCAACATTTCCACCCATGCTGGGGACTGAACCATGGACACTCAGTGTGCAAGGCGAGAGTGTTGCCAACCCAGCCATGGGGCTGCAACACTTCTAATTATTGTGATCACTGTATATCAGCCTTTGCTGTGATGGAATTCAATGCCAGAGGTTCTAAAAGTTCCCCATTTCCCAAGTGCTTCAAAAACTGCCAAGAAACATATGAATATGATGTACATAATGAAGGTCAGTGACACAAATGTGTCCTGAAGGCCACACAAAACCAGTTAATGGGCTGCATGTGGCCTCCAGCACTGCAGGTAGGTAACCTCTGATTTTCAACATCCTATATAACATACATGTACATTAGAATCCTCCATGGGGAAGTGGAATAGAATTCTTCCTCTGTAAGCCATGCGTGTTGTAAGAGGCAACTAAAATGCCAGGAGCAAGGGGCTAGTAACCTCTTCTCCTGTACATATTACTAAATGTAAAAGGAGAAACTTTCATTTTTCCTTTTGGGCCACCCCACCTCGGTAGGATACGGCTGGTGTGTTGAAAGAAAGAAGAAAGTACATTAGAATATGTGGCACCCACATCTAATCAAACATATAAAAGAAACTAAAAATGCAAAGGTTTGCAACAATACTGTAATCGTAATTTAGTTTTAAGCTTGGCCAAAATGCTATGTATAACAATAGGCTTTCTATAGGTTATCAAGGACATAGAGGACCAGGTTCCCCTGGTTCTCTCTGCTAATGATGACAACGTACACAATGGGTTATAAGGTTTATACAGCGGGCACTGAAAGAAGAGGCGGCAGCCAGGGGATGTAGATGACAACTAACAATAATAACAATCAAACTAAGAACCAAATCTGAAAGGGTCGTAGATGACAACTAAAGAATCTGAAGAGGTGGTGTAAGGACACCATACACAGTCTCAAGAGAAGGTATGACTGGGTCATAAGCTTGACACACATGAATCAAGAAGTGGAAGTAAACTTGACTGTTTTTGAAGTTTGATATTATGATGAGACCTAAGGTAGTAGGTTGGTAGACAGCAACCACCCAGGGAAGTACTACCGTCCTGCCAGATGACGGTGAAACAGAAACCTGTAACTGTTTTGCATGATGGTAGGATTGCTGGTTTCTTTTTCTGTCTCATAAACACGCTAGATAACAGGGATATCTTGCTACTCCTACTTACACTTTGGTCACACTTCACAGACACGCACATGCATATATATATATACATACATCTAGATTTTTCTCCTTTTTCTAAATAGCTGTTGTTCCTCTTTATTTCTTCTATTGTCCATGGGGAAGTGGAAAAGAATCTTTCCTCCGTAAGCCATTTGTGTCGTATGAGGCGACTAAAATGCCGGGAGCAATGGGCTAGTAACCCCTTCTCCTGTAGACATTTACTAAAAAAGAGAAGAAGAAAAACTTTATAAAACTGGGATGCTTAAATGTGCGTGGATGTAGTGCGGATGACAAGAAACAGATGATTGCTGATGTTATGAATGAAAAGAAGTTGGATGTCCTGGCCCTAAGCGAAACAAAGCTGAAGGGGGTAGGGGAGTTTCGGTGGGGGGAATAAATGGGATTAAATCTGGAGTATCTGAGAGAGTTAGAGCAAAGGAAGGGATAGCAGTAATGTTGAATGATCAGTTATGGAAGGAGAAAAGAGAATATGAATGTGTAAATTCAAGAATTATGTGGATTAAAGTAAAGGTTGGATGCGAGAAGTGGGTCATAATAAGCGTGTATGCACCTGGAGAAGAGAGAAATGCAGAGGAGAGAGAGAGATTTTGGGAGATGTTAAGTGAATGTATAGGAGCCTTTGAACCAAGTGAGAGAGTAATTGTGGTAGGGGACCTGAATGCTAAAGTAGGAGAAACTTTTAGAGAGGGTGTGGTAGGTAAGTTGGGTGCCAGGTGTAAATGAAATGGGAGCCCTTTGATTGAACTTTATATAGAAAGGGGTTAGTTATAGGTAATACATATTTTAAGAAAAGAGGATAAATAAGTATACAAGATATGATGTAGGGCGAAATGACAGTAGTTTGTTGGATTTGTATTGGTAGATAAAAGACTGTTGAGTAGACTTCAGGATGTACATGTTTATAGAGGGGCCACAGATATATCAGATCACTTTCTAGTTGTAGCTACACTGAAAGTAAAAGGTTAGATGGGATACAAGGAGATAGAAGCATCAGGGAAGAGAGAGGTGAAGGTTTATAAACTAAAAGAGGAGGCAGTTAGGGTAAGATATAAACAGCTATTGGAGGATAGATGGCTAATGAGAGCATAGGCAATGGGGTCGAAGAGGTATGGGGTAGGTTTAAAAATGTAGTGTTAGAGTGTTCAGCAGAAGTTTGTGGTTACAGGAAAGTGGGTGCGGGAGGGAATGAGGGAGCGATTGGTGGAATGATGATGTGAAGAGAGTAGTAAGGGAGAAAAAGTTAGCATATGAGAAGTTTTTACAAAGTAGAAGTGATGCAAGGAGGGAAGAGTATATGGAGAAAAAGAGAGAGGTTAATACATAGCATTAGAAATCTTCCTTATGAAGAAAGATTGAAGACTCTTAAGTTATATTCACTTGTTAGACGAAGAATGAGGGGAGACCTGATCGAAGTGTATAAGTGGAAGATAGGTATTAATAAAGGGGATAATAACAAGGTCTTGAGGATATCTCTCCAAGAGAGAACCCGCAGTAATGGATTTAAATTAGATAAGTTTAGATTTAGAAAGGACATAGGAAAGTATTGGTTTGGAAATAGGGTAGTTGATGAGTGGAACAGTCTACCTAGTTGGGTTATTGAGGCTGAGACTTTGGGTAGTTTCAAATTTAGGTTGGATAAGTACATGAGTGGGAGGGGTTGGATTTGAGAGGGACTTGCACATCGGAGCTATTTTCTTGGGTGGCATTGAAAATTGGGTTGGTCGGGTGTTTGTTGATGGGATGAATTGTAAAGGACCTGCCTAGTATGGGCCAACAGGCCTGCTGCAGTGTTCCTCCTTTCTTATGTTCTAAGCAATGTAAAAAGAGAGCAAATGAGAGAGTGGGTGAGATGTTATCAACAAATTTTGTTGAAAATAAGAAAAAGTTTTGGAGTGAGATTAACAAGTTAAGAAAGCCTAGAGAACAAATGGATTTGTCAGTTAAAAATAGGAGAGGAGAGTTATTAAATGGAGAGTTAGAGGTATTGGGAAGATGGAGGGAATATTTTGAGGAATTGTTAAATGTTGATGAAGATAGGGAAGCTGTGATTTCGTGTATAGGGCAAGGAGGAACACATCTTGTAGGAGTGAGGAAGAGCCAGTTGTGAGTGTGGGGGAGTTAGTGAGGCAGTAGGTAAATGAAAGGGGGTAGGCAGCGGATTGATGGGATTAAAGATAGAAATGCTAAAAGCAGGTGGGGATATAGTTTTGGAAGTGGTTGGCTGCAATTATTTAATAAATGTATGGAAGAGGGTAAGGTACCTAGGGATTGGAAGAGAGCATGCATAGATTCCTTTGTATCAAAGGCCAAAGGGGATAAAAGAGAGTGCAAAATTATAGGGGGATAACGTCTGTTGAGTATACCTGGCAAGTGTGTGGTAGAGTTATTATTGAAAGAATAAGAGTAGAAGGAGAACGAGAATGGATAGCAGATGAAACAAGGAGGCTTCAGGAAAGGTTAAGTGGGGTGTGTGGACCAGGTGTTTACAGTGAAACATATAAGTGAACAGTATTTAAGATAAGGATGAAGAGGTCCATCATTGTGGCCATTTATGGATTTGTGAAAAGGCAGTATATGACAGGGTGGATAGTAGGGGGCAATGTGCAGATGTTGCAGGTGTATGGTTGTAGGAGGTGGTTACTGAAAAGCAGTGAAGAGTTTTTACGAGGTTGTGAGGCATCAAGTTAGAGTTTGTTGGAAAGAGGAAATTATTTCCCGTAAAGTAGGGCCTTTAGACAAGGATGTGTGTTGTACCGTGGTTGTTTAATATATTTAATAGATGGCGGTTGTATGAGAAGTAAATGCGAGGGTCTTGGCAAGAGGCGTGGAGTTAAAAAGATAAAGTATCACACATAAAGTGGATGTTGTCACAGTTGCTCTTTGCTGTGGGAACTGTGCTCTTGGGAGATTCTGAAGAGAAAGTTGCAGAGATTGGTGATGAATTTGGTAGGGTGTGCAAAAGATGAAAAATAAAGTGAATCCAGGAAAGAGTAAGGGTTTATGAGATAACAAAAATATTAGGTGATGGAAAGATTGGATATCAGATTGGAGGAGAGAGTATGGAGGGGTGAATGTATTCAGATATTTGGAGTGGACGTGTCTGACGGGATGGGTTGTGAAAGATGAGGGAGAATTATAGAATTGATGAGGGAGGAAAAAGGGCGAGTGGTGCACTTAGGAGTCTGTGGAGACAAAGAAACTTTGTCCTTGGAGGCAAAGGAGGGGAAAATGTATGAGAGTATAGTTTTCCAAAGCTTATATGGGTGTGAAAGCATGGTGATGAATGTTGCAGCGAGGTGAGGCTGGGAGGCAGTGGAGATGTCATGTCTGAGAGACAATGTGTGCGTTGTGAATCTAATGCAGAGAATTCGTAGTTGGAAGTTTAGGAGAGGTGCGGGAATTACCCAAAACTGTTGTCCAGAGGGCTGAGGAAGGGTTTGCGACGTTGGTTCGG